ACTAGCTCCCCTACGAAGCCCGCTACGCGGGCTTGCCAGTGGCCCTACGGTAGGGTACATAGATTAGCCTCGGAAAAGACAAGAATTTTCTTAAAACCCCCAGTGTATGATAGTAAAATTAGCCTTGGCAAAGACAAGACAAAAATGTCTAGCATCTATCTCAAATTGAATGGTCACGCCCCATAGGGGTCACGTGATAAAAAGCAGCTTGCTGTGCTAAAAAATTTTGGTAAAAAAATTCACTCGCACTCCTGTGACTATCGCTAGGAAGGGGGGAGCCTGAGATAAAAAGGGGGTAGAGGCTCCCCCCTTCCTAGCGATAGTCACAGGAGTGCGAGTGAATTTTTTTACCAAAATTTTTTAGCACAGCAAGCTGCTTTTTATCACGTGACCCCTATGGGGCGTGACCATTCAATTTGAGATAGAGGCTAGACATTTTTGTCTTGTCTTTGCCAAGGCTAATTTTACTATCATACACTGGGGGTTTTAAGAAAATTCTTGTCTTTTCCGAGGCTAATCTATGTACCCTACCGTAGGGCAACTGGCAAGCCCGCGTAGCGGGCTTCGTAGGGGAGCTAGTCTTCCGTTAATTGAAAGTTGCTGCAAAACTTTTGCAAGCCCAGGTCTATTCGTGTTCCTCGTTTAAATATTTTAATGGATTACCCCCTAAGTCTCCTGTTTTAATTTTCCATAAAATTTCATGTCAAGACTTCCCAACTTTACTTATCTGTTTACTCCTCTGACAAATCAAATTAAAATTGAATCTATCCTGAAAATCAGAATAAAAAACAATGCCCTCCTACATTTTTTCAATTTAATAAGGAATGCGAGCAAAAAATCTAATATCATACAGCAAGCAGGCAAGCACACTCTAAACATGACAAAAGACAAACATAATTAATCCAATCCATAGTCACGCCTACTGTGAGTAGCATATACTATTGGCAAGAGCAGGAAATAATTGCTCGAGGACAAAGTATTATTTACTTGCAGCAACAACCCTATTGAGATAAGAGCTTTTTTCGTGTAGGAAGATAATGCTTTATTACCTTGATTGTAATTCAGTAAATCCTTTTAGAAAAGTAAACCCAAACTTAATTACTCGCTGGCTCCAGAGACCGATACTTGCGAAATTCCTAATAGAATCAATCCAATGAGTAGTTCCTCGATTATTACGATTACCAATTAGCAATATCATAGCTTTCATCACCATCTGAACTATTTTGAAATCGAGGTTAATAGCACTCTTGTCTTTCAGAGGCTAATCTTACTATTCCATTTTGGGGCCATAGGGTGCCCGCATAGCGGGATTTACTGGGAGCTAGTCTTCCGTTCATTGAAATGTACATATGAATTTGATACATAAACGGTTGCAATATCGAGGCAAGACAGAAAGTTGCTTCAATACATTTTGTAAGCAAAGATCTTTTTGTGGTCCTTGTTTAAATATTTTCACGGGTTACCCTCTTAAAGTTTCCATCTTTTTTTATCTCTTGGTGAATCGTGGTGCTCGTTTAAATATCTTGCAGGCTTATCTAAAAGCTTTGTTAATTATTCTGAATTCTACTTTAAGGTTGACAGCAACATGCTTCTGCAAGCCCCATCAATTCTTTATCCTCGTTGACACATTTTCATGGGTTACTCCTAGAAGTTCTCCTATTTAGTCACAATCAAATTGTTGAAGTTTTTCAATCATACACTCTTAGCCCTCGTCGACTTATAGGGCGCTTATAAATATTTTCTAAGGCCATTCTTAAAGCTGTAATGTTCATTTTGAATCTAGCGTGAATATCTCTATCATAGCATTTCGTTCAATTCTTGTTCAATTGTGATGCTGTTTTAAGATATAATTGCAGGCCACCCTCAAAAGTCCCCCCGTTTATTCTGAATCAAACATTAAAGTTTTCCAACAATAAATTCCTGTTAGCCGTTTCTTAAGAATCAACATTCCTAAAAAGTATGTTGGTTCATAAGCAAATTAACGATTTCTGACCTAAACTCCAAAGAATCATAAAGTTATTACGCAGGTTTATTCATTTGAGGTCCACGTGCAGCAACAAAGCACTCAAGAAGTTGAAAGATAGAAAACAGCAAAATTTTCGTGCATTAGAAAGGAATCTTACACCGATAATATATCAGCAATATACAATTTACAGACAACAGTTGTTCTTTATAGATTTAGTCCTTTTATCCAGTGTCAAGTTTTTTCTTGTTTCATTGTGCGACTTAACACCAGCATAAATGCCATAAATTTCGGTTCCAATGTCTGAGAATCACGTCGGCGTAATAATTATTGCTTGAAACGGTCTTTGCTCTAGATGAAGAACAGTAACAATTATGAAGATGTTATTTCTTTGTCAAAGCAAGCGTAATAAGAAAATCGATAGTCGTAATGATTTGAAAAAATTTCAGAAATAAACGTTCGCGGCGAGTCTAGCCACCCCTATTAGCGACCTGTTTTTAGTGTAATTTCATCAAATTAAGCATAAAATCATTTGAAATTGTTGTTGTTACGAGAGCAATGCAGCAAATCCATTTTCCTTCAAGCACAAAACTACGAAGGAGGTAAAACATTAAGAGAAACACGTTCACGTTGGGTCTAGCGACCGCTTTTAGCAACCGTTTCTTAGTGACCGGTTTTTAGTGGAATTTTATCCAAATAAGCAAAAAGTCATTTGAAATTATTTTTAGAATGATTCATTTACAATTCCTAAAATGCTGTCAAAGCTAGAAATAATTTTAACTTAAGAGGTAGGCAAATCCTATTTGTCTCAGTGGGAAAATCACAGAAAAAAGTGAAATTTTAATCGAAAATACTCACTTGTTGTACCAAGACGTCAGCGAATTCCATCGTTCATCTACAAAAAAAGAAGGCGGTTATGGAAAGTTGCTGTAAAGGATTCTCGTCAAGCATGGAAAAGTTGGGGGCTGGCGTTACATAATTCGCATTACAGCGGGTTTCCTATGAAAATCAAATTTTCTTGCATCAAGAATAAACAGCAGGAAAAATCTACCACAATTCTTCATATTTTGATTGCAATAAAGCCAATCCAGTTTCCTTTAAGCACAAAACCACGAGAAGAGGTAAAAATTCGCCGTTCGCGGCGGGGGTCTAGCAGTAAGCGACCGGTTTTTAAGGGCCGGTTTTTAGTGGAATCTCATCGAAATGAGCACAAAATAATTTGAAACAAGTAATATCGAAAACACGTAAGAACATCAACGCTTACTTGTATTCGCATGCCATCGATTCTGATGCCAGTGAAGAAGGGGAACAGCCAGCAGCCATCGCAAAACCAAATATCAGGCAGCAGCGTGTGTACCGTACGTACGTACGTAGCTACTAAAACGAAAAGGGAGATCGTCAAAAGCACGAATTACATGGCTCTTGCATACCAAATAATAAGAAACGGAATTTCAATCGATCGATCGATAAAAAATCAGTTGATAAAAAAAGTCAAGGAGACTCACCTGAGATCGAGAGCACCCACTATTGACTGTAGATGTAGCACACGACAGGACCGTCTAGGACCGCTTCGAGTTCTAAAAGGAATGTCAAGCAGCAGCGCACGTAGATTTATTAGCTATCCTCTCCTCTAACTACAAAAAATCCAATGGATCCTTTGTGGAAAGCGAAACGAATTTGAAGAGCCTCCGTTCAAATTGAAGGGCTGCTGGAGGAAGAGGTTTTGAAATCTTTTGTAGAGAGCAAGAGAAAAGAGAGAGAAAGAACCTTTAGAAATGCGGGACAAAGACCGCGGAGAGCACTAATCGAGATCTTGCATCCTCGGAGAAAACCGTGTAAATATCTCAGGAACGGAAGCTAAAATGAGAAAAAGCAGACCTTATGATGGAGCATCGGGGATCGAGGATTCAGGGAAAAAAAGAATTTTGAAAATCGGCCGAGCGGTTTTGGCTGAAAACCGTTTGAATCGCCGGGCGGTGTGGATCTTTTGTTCGGGGTTGATTTGCATATCCGAATTTTAGTTATAGTGATAGCTCCCCTACGAAGCCCGCTACGCGGGCTTGCCAGTGACCCTACGGTAGAGTACATAGATTAGCCTCGGAAAAGACAAGAATTTTCTTAATACCCCCTATGAATTATAGTAAAATTAGCCTCGGCAAAGACAAGAATTCTGTCGAAGCCCCCTATGAGTTTGCAGATTAGCCTCGGAGAAGACAAGAGGTGTATCAACCTCGATTTGAAAAAAATTGGCTCCGCATAGGTCACGTGATAAAAAAATTACTCGCACTCCTGTGACTATCGCTAGGAAGGGGGGAGCCTCTACCCCTTCTCTATTTCAGGCGACCCCCTGACTAGCGATAGTCACAGGAGTGCGAGTAATTTTTTTATCACGTGACCTGTGCGGAGCCAATTTTTTTCAAATCGAGTTTGATACACCTCTTGTCTTTTCCGAGGCTAATCTGCATACTCATTGGGGGCTTCGAAAGAATTCTTGTCTTTACCGAGGCTAATCTATGTACTCTTACCGTAGGGTCACTGGCAAGCCCGCGTAGCGGGCTTCGTAGGGGAGCTAGTCTTCCGTTAATTGAAAGTTGCTTCAAAACATTTGGAAGCCCAGGTCTATTCGTGTTCCTCGTTTAGATATTTTAATGGGTTACCCCCTAAGTCTCCTGTTTTAATTTTCCATAGAATTTCATGGTAAGACTTCCCAACTTTACTTATTTGTTTACTCCTCTGACAAATAAAATTAAAATTGAATCTATCCTGAAAATCAAAGTAAAAAAACAATGCCCTCTTACATTCTTTCAATTTAATAAGGAATGCAAGCAAAAAGTGTAATATCATACGGCAAGCAGGCAAGCACATTCTAAGCATGACAAAAGACAAACATAATTAATCCAATCCATAGTCACGCCTACTGTGAGTATCATATACTATTGGCAAGAGCAGGAAATAATTGCTCGAGGACAAAGTATTATTTACTTGCAGCAACAACCCTATTGAGATAAGAGCTATTTTCGTGTAGGAAGATAATGCTTTATTACCTTGATTGTAATTCAGTAAATCCTTTTAGAAAAGTAAACCCAAACTTAATTACTTGCTGGCTCCAGATACCCATACTTGCGAAATTCCTAATAGAATCAATCCAATAAGTAGTTCCTTGATTATTATGATTACCAATTAGCAATATCATGGCTTTCATCACCATCTGAAGCCCTTTGAAATCAAGGTTAATAGCACTCTTGACTTATTCAGAAGCTAATCTTACTATCCCATTTTGGGGCCATAGGGTGCCCAAAGAGCGGGATTTACTGGGAGCTACTCTTCCGTTTATTAAAATGTGCATATCAATTTGATACATAAACGGTTGCAATATCAAGGCAATACAGAAAGTTGCTTCAATACATTTTGTAAGCCACGATCTATTTGGGGTCCTTGCTTAAATACTTTCACGGGTTACCCTCTTTATTTCTCCTGCTTATTCTAATTGCAATGTTTTGAAACTTCCATTTTCTTTTATCTCTCGGTGAATCGTGGTGCTCGTTTAAATATCTTGCAGGCTTATCTAAAAGCTTTGTTAAATATTCTGAATTCTACTTTAAACTTGACAGCTACATACTTCTGCCAGCCCCCATCATTTTCACGAGTTAATCCTATAATTTCTCCTATTTAGTCAGAATCAAATTTTTAAGTTGTCCAATCATACACTCTTAGCCCTCGTCGACTTATAGGGCGCTTATAAATATTTTCTAAGGCCATTCTTAATGCTGTAATGTTCATTTTGAATCCAGCGTGAATATCTTTAACATAGCATTTCGTTCAATTCTTGTTCATTTGTGATGCTGTTTTAAGATATAATTTGGGGCCACCTTTAAAGTTCCTCTGTTTATTTTGAATCAAACATTAACGTTTTCCAACAATAAATTCCTGTTAGCCGTTATTGGTCCATGGTGCTCGTTTAGATATATATCATCTAAAAATTTCTTAAGCATCAAAATTCCTTAAAAAATGTCGATTCATAAAAGAATTAACGACTCCTCTTCTAAACTCCAAAGAGTTATAGAGTTATTACGCAGTTCTATACATTTGAGGTCCACATATCAAATCTCCGTCACAATTAGCTTTTGAAACACTGCAGGAACAAAGCAGTTAAGAAATAGAAAGATAAAAAACAGCCAAGTTTCGTGCATCAGAAAGGAATCTTACTCTAACAACAAATTAACAAAATACAATTTACGGACAACAGCTAATCTAAATAACTTTAGTCCGTTTCTCCACAGTCAAGTTTTTTCATGTTTCTTTGTTCGATTTAACGACAACATAAATGCCACGAATTTCGTTTCGAAGGTCCGAGAATCACGTCTGCGTCGTAATCATTGCTTGAAACGCTATTTGATCTAGATGAAGAACAAAAAAAATAATTAAGATGTTATTCTATGGTTAATGAAAGCACGTTCTAAGGAAATCGATGGTCATAATGCTTTGTAAAAATTTCAGAAAATTTGTTCGCCTCGAGAGCCTAGCCAGCCCTTCAAGCGGCTGGTTTTTAGTGTAATTTCGTCGAAATAAGCGCAAAATCATTTGAAATTGCTCTTTTTTAGAGGGTAATACAGCCAATCTATTTTTTTTAGCACGAAACTACGCGAGAGGTAAAAATTTCGGAGAAACACGTTCGCGGCGGGTTTAGCTACCCATTTTTAGCCACCGGTTTTTAGTGTAATTACATCAATTTAAAAATAAATTCATTTGAAATGGTTCTCCCTATTCTGATGGCAATAGAGCCAATCCATTTTCTTTTTAGCACAAAGCTACGGAAGAGGTAAAAATTTTGTAGAAACACGCTCGCGGCGGGTTTAGCTATCCATTTTTAGCGTCCGGTTTTTAGTGTAATTTCATCAAATTAAAAATAAATTCATTTGAAATGGTTCTCTCTATTCTGATGGCAATAGAGCCAATCCATATTCTTTTAAGCAGAAAACTACGCAAGAGGTAAACAATTCAGAGAAACACGTTCGTGGCGGGTCTAGCGACTCCTTTCAGCAACCGATTTTTAGTGTAATTTCACCCAAATAAGCATAGAGTCATTTGAAATGGTTTCTATAATGATTAATTTACAATTCCGAAAATGATGCAGGCACAATCTACCGTAACAATCCAGCTTCCTTTCAGTACAAAACCACGAAAAGAGGTGGAAATTCGCCGTTCGCGGCGGGGGTCTAGCAGTAAGCGACCGGTTTTTAGTGTAATTTCATCAAATTAAGCATAAAATCATTTGAATTTGTTCTTGTTAAGCGAGCAATACAGCAAATCCATTTTCCTTGAAGGACAAAACTGCGAAGAGGTAAAACATTAAGAGAAACACGTTCGTGGCGGGTCTAGCGACCCCTTTTGGCAACCGGTTTTTAGTGTAATTTCACCCAAATAAGCAAAAAGTCATTTGAAATGGTTTCTAGAATGATTTATTGATAATTCCGAAAAAATGCTCTCAAAAAGCTAGAAATAATTTTCACTCGAGGGGCAGGCAAATCCAACCTCAGTCTCAGCGGGAAAATCGCACAAAAAGTGAAATTTTAATCGAAAAATACTCACTTGTTGTACCAAAAAGTCAGCGAATCCGATCGTTTATCTACAAAAAAGGAAGGCGGTTAGAAAAGGTTGCTGCAAAGGATTCTCGATAGGCATAAAAAGTTGGGGGCTGGCGGGATTACATAATTCGCATTGCAACGGGTTTCCTATGAAAATCAAATTTTCTTGCATCAAGAATAAACAGCAGGAATAATCTACCACAATTCTTCATACTCTGATTGCAATAAAGCCAATCCAGTTTCCTTTTAGCACAAAACCACGAGAAGAGGTAAACATTTTTCGTTCGCGGCGGGGTTCTAGCAGCCGGTTTTTAGTGCAATTTTATCCAAATGAGCAGGAAATCATGTCAAATAATTTAAATTTCGAAAACACGTAAGAACAACAGCGCTTACCTGTATTCACATGCCATCGATTCTGATGCCAGTGAAGAAGGGGATCAGCCAGCAGCAATCGCAAAACCAAAAAACGGGCAGCAGCGGGTGTACCGTACGTACGTAGCTACTAAAACGAAGAAAAGGAAGATCGTCAAAACCACGAATTACATGGCTCTTGCAAATGAAATAACAACAAACGGGGTATCGATCGACAAAAAGGAAAGGAAAATAGCTAGCGAGAAAGTTTATAATAAAAAGCTAGCGAGACTCACCTGCAGCTGTAGCACTGTAGCACTGTAGCACTGTAGAACACGACCGTCGACAACCGCTTCGAGTTCGAAAAGGAATGCCAACCAGCAGTGCACGTAGATTTATTATCATCCAATTCCAAATCACCAAAAAATTATGAGCACATTTGAAAAGCCTCCTTTGAAATGGAACGATTGCTGGAGGAAGAAGTTTTGAAATCTTTTGTAGAGACCAAGAGAAAAGAGAGAGAAAGAACCTTTAGAAACGGGACAATGGGACAAAGAGCTCGGAGAGCACTAATCGTGATGGAGAGGTTTTGGAGCGATTTTGGAACGAACCCGGGAGAAAAGGTACAAATATCTATAAAAAGGGAGGAAAAACGAAAAAAAGAAACCCCCTACGCAGTAGTTTGAGGATCCAGGACGAAGTGGAAAAAAGAATTTTGAAAATCGGCAAAGCGGTTTTGGCTCGTAACCTTTTGAAGCGCTGGGTGGTTTTGATGGAGGGATCCGCTCGTGCATTGTGTGGGGCTTTTGTTTGAGGAGATTAGAGAAAATTTGCATAGTCGCACATTAGTATTAGTTAGAAGCCTATGCCAGCCTATGCCTAAATGAACGTATTATGTCGCCTAACAATTATGTATTAATGGTTAAAATGACTTTAACAAAGGTTTAAAGCTGAAACAGAAAAAACAACTACCTTGGCTACGGTGAACTCTTCGATACTGGCTTCCAAAATTCTTTGCTCATTTCATTGAGCTGTTTGGCTCAGTGGAATTAGCGTTGGTTTTTGAAGCAACAAACAGGAATTCGATCACTGTTAAGACTCTTGGGAATGCGGAAGCGGGGGATATAGGGGGTTTAAGCCCCCCAATAATTTCTAAAATGTACTTAAAATCATACCAAAAATCGCCCTGCTCTTGGTTTTTAGCATGTTTAGCCCCCCAGCTTTTTAGCCCCCTCAATATGTAATATGCTTCGCGGTCCTTGGCCAGGAGTGGTTCATTAGCATCCTTGTAAATACAATTTTTCTCCTGTCAGTTTTTGCCATGTAAACATTTTATATTAGCTCTTGACTCGAATATTTTTTAAGATATAAATACATTTTCAATGAAAAACATATTAGCTAACGTTTCGCTATAGGTTTCCTCCGAACATCATTTATGGGGCGAATTAATTTGACCATATTTTGGACAAGGTCATCTACATTTTTAAATCAATTATTTCAATGTTACTTATATTTACTTTCCTTCCACTCGCCACAACAATTTTTCGATGATGAGAGTGTCTTTCTACGAATCACAGTCCGACCATTCTTAATGAAAAATCCGGTTAAAAACTATGATTAACACGGACCACAGTAACTAACTTTACATGAAATGGGCACAACGTTTCTATGCCACATGTTTCTAAGAAAGACAAAGGGCATTAAGAGATTGTAAATTTAACGCCCACTATAATACTTTCGAATTAGCTAAAGATAGCTTTCTATTTGTGTTTATTTTAACAAAACAAGTACTGAAACGAACTAGGCCCTATTTACTGATCATGACCGTAAGTCCCTCCCATAGACAAATTGTAACTGAGCATCGTAAACATTAGTCTGTGTTCCAGACCCCTAACTTGAAAGTAGAGGTCTACATATTCATATGCTTATTGATATGACATATTTTTGACATATTTTTCACCACTCAAAATCTCTTTTGATGGATTTACTTTTAAGGAAAATGGTCGTTTTTTTCACATCTGAGGTCAAAATGAATCTCCAAGAGCTACAAAGGTAAAGCCATTTATCTAAGGCAAAAAATGCACGATAACTCAATTGAAACAAGATTCAGAAGCGTTTTCCGATCCATATGTCGACAGAAATTCAAAGTAAAATTGGCTTTTCAAATTGATTCCTACAAAAAGTGAATTCTTAAATCTTTTCAACCATTCTATCACTTTAATTCAAAGTCATTCAGGAAACAAAATATTCATAAACAACCACCCAAATTCACTTGAAGTGATTAAAACCCACTTTAGCTATAGACGTTCGGATATAAACGAATGTCATCCGACACGCTTATACTCTCCTTAATGATCTATTTCATTCTAGTGATTTATTTGATCTATTTCGTTCAACTAGTGGATTACTAAAAGATAAACTCTTACAAAAACGCCTAAAACACTGTCCAGGAGCTATTACAATAGTCTTGTCTGTTCCATATCCTTAACTAGATGCAATTGCAACACATGTTTTGCTTTCTGTTTCAAGATTCAAGAAAATGTCATTATCCACTAATTTTGACTGATAATGACGGTAGCAAAGAGTCCATGCGAGCTCCTTAGGCCCAGCTTCATTGATTATTCTATCTTTCTTTGTCGAGAACAATTGCAAGCCATCGAATTACTCCACGTGTGTATAGAGGCAAAACAAAGTTGAAGTTCATAAAAAGAACACAAGAAATTCAGCAGATTTTTCAAAATCAAAAAGACTGTTATAGACAGAAACTTAGTCTGAACAGTATGGTACAGTATAAAATATACATGTTTTTATTCTGCTAAATTTCGTCTTCTTCTCGTGTTCAAATAGAACTGTCTTTGATTGTTACTGCAGGACTTTATACCACTGCGACATAGCTTTAAGCGGCTTTTCACCAGTGAGATCAGTATATTTGCTCTTTACCAAATCGGCAAACTTATCATTAGTCATGTACCTAAGTTGAGGTTTATCGGTGACAATGGAATTTATGATGACGTTGGCAATATCTTCACCTTTTTGCCCAACTTTTTCAAATATTATAGGAGTGCTGTTGCTCACATCAGACATGGCTTCCTTGGTTGGTTCATCAAGGCCTTCAAAATTCACAGGATTTTCGCTTTGAGAATTTGAGAAAAACTTTGTTAAAACAGGTCCAGGTTCCACTAATGTCATCCTGAAAAAGAAAAATAAAAAAATCCACTTAATGTAGAAAAACAGTATTAGGTTGACTAAGCCAAACCATAAGGAAGAATGAAGAAAAGAAAACATGCATCTTCAAGTTGAGCTTACTAAGTGAAGAATCAACCTTATGATGGTTTTAATCGCAGTCATACATGTGGATTAATAAAAAACAAACTGCCGATAGGACAACTATGGACCATGAGGAGGTAAACAAGGCAAGAAATATATTTTCTCCTGCAATAACGATGATCAGCTAGATCTAGTGAGGGATTTTATATGATGAGATATTCAGAAAGGTATTGTAGCTAAACATTGATCAAGTGATGTGATCTAAAACAAAGTTGTAACTGGTTGATAATTGAACTCCCAACCTCATCACAGCCACTCTACCCCTTCCCCTTCATAAACACTTCATAAATTCATTCCAAAGGCCCTGACGTTACTCAGATAAGATTCTTACTTTTGTGTGACTGTTAGACGGCCTTTTCAAATTCTCGAACAATAAAGACTTACCTAATATTTGGAAAAGGAAGAAGCTCAAGAGCTAATGACTCTATGAATCCTTCTATTGCAAACTTGGTTGAAGCATACACAGAACTGTAATGAAAACCCATGATGCCTGCAATTGACGTCACAGTTATTGCTTGTCCTGATCCTCTTTCTTTCCAATGGGGAAGCATTTTTTTAATAATGTTGATAGGCCCAAAGACGTTCGTAGCAAACATGCTTTGTATTTCTTCGGATTTGTGGCATTGGGTAGGCCCATACCACCCAAAAGCGGCATTATTCACTACAATTGAAAAATTAGTTTTTATAAGCAATGCAATCTTCGGCAAACAATCTAAAGTGAATGAATGAATAAATAAACAATTAAATAAATAAACGAATAAAAAAATAAATAAACAAATAAACAAATAAGTCAATAAATCAATTAGTCAATAAATCAATAAGTCAATGCATCAAAAAATCAGTAAATAAATAGAGCCATGTTAGCTGTAGATGTTACTTGGATTTTCGTGAAACAAATGGGAGCCACACCCTTCAGGTGACTGATTATACTCCCTTCCCCCAAAACCTGCTGCTTAAATCTGTCCCTGCTGGTATCAAGTTTCAGAGGCTTGAATAAATGTACACGTTTTTGTTAATCTTCAGCTCGGCGTGTGAGCAACAATAGAGCAAACAAGTATGGGCCAAAAAAGGCTAAGACTTTATTTCTTCAAGCACAACGGAAACTCTCTCTATTGATTTCCAAAAGGAAAGACAATGGCTTAGCAAGGAACGCTTTATTTGATTCAGCCAAATGGACAACAGCACCCCTTGTGTAACAAGCTAGGTAAATAAAAAATCCCCGTTGAGAAAATTCCACACCAGGGAGTCCCCTTTCAAAAATCCGGGGGTTTTCTCCAACTCCCCACGTCCCCCGTAAGTTGTGACATTGGATGCCGCCTTGAAATTATTTAAATAGACCAGTGGCGGCTCCAGCCTGGGATAAGTGGAGGGGAACAAAAGGTGTGTCAGGGGACCACGCCCTTTTGGTCCACGCCCTTTTGGTCCACGCCCTTTTATACCACGCCCTTTCCCCCTGTTTGAGACTTTTTCTTCCGGTGGAAATGTCATTAACATGTGACGATCTAGATAACGACATACCCCCCCCTGAAGTTTTCTCATCAGGTTTGCAAGAATCTCAAGGACCAGCTTTCTGAAAAAGTGGGGGGGGGGACTAATCCCCCTATTCCCCCCCGTGGCTTCGCCACTGAAATAGACGCTGTGTGGACCAGACCATAGAATACCAGACCTCTTTGGAAGCCTCGCAGAATTTACGCTGACTCACGCTGATTATTAAAAAAAATCGGATCGCTACGATATACTTTACTCTTCATGAGTCAGCAAAATGTCAACCCTTGATTGAAATACATTTTTCATACTGCAACTGATAAGCTTCTTTTTTCTTAGAGATTTTGAAACTTTTATTTTGGTAGCTTTAAAGCACCCTGCACCGTAACAGCACCTTCATTTCAAAAGCAGTATAAACAAGTTTGCAGCTTGCAGCAATTAGCAGCTGATCCGGTTCATTCAAGTTTAGAAATTAAGCTTGTCTGAAAAACAAAATGCATTTAAGGCATTCAACCCAAACTAACTCAATTACTCACCAATAACATCAATCCTTCCTTCTTTTGCCAAAAGATCGTCAAGAACTTTCTCAACCTGCTCTGCAGATGATACATCCAGCTTCTCGATAAACAATGTTTTCCCTAGAACATCACTCCCCTCCTTCTCCAGTGGATCCTTCTTTGCAAGATTTCTCATTGAAGCGTATACTTTGAACCTTTTATCGGCATCTCTTGCAAGCATAACAGCCGTTTCTAGGCCGATTCCCGAGGAGCATCCTGTGAATAGAACTACTTTTTGGTTACTTGCTGCCATTTCGATCGTCTTTCTTGGCCTAAACACAGTGCTGTGATATTAAGTCTCAGACCTGGTGGAGTGATGAAAGGTACATGTAAAAGAATAAAGGGCTTTGTTCTCAGCAAGGAAAATGCTCTGTTAATATAAAAGGAACGTAAACAAACTTCGCTTCGTAGTAGTGTAATTTGCACAAGGATACTGGCGCATGGGGAGAGCAGGATGTTTAATCTCTGGGCAGAAGAAAAGTTCCTGCAGAATCTCTGGCCATTTCCTCCCTCGTCCTGAAGGGCGCTACGATAACGAAGCATATTACAGATCAAGGGGGCTAAAAAGTTTTTCGGGTGGGAGGGGGATGGGTGTTATCAACTTTGTGATGAGGTCGAACGATACGGACTCTGGACGTTTGAACTTTGATACTTTGAACTCGACGCATCGTTCCATTTTGTAATGCAAACTTTGATAGGCTGAACTTTAGTTATTTTAACCTTTTAAGAATGCTTTGTTTAAACTTTGAGCTTGAAACACCGTGTAGTAGATTTTTAGAGTTGTGTTTGTTATATCGGGCCTGAAAAACATGTGTACTTTCTTCGGGGCCACTGAGTTTTTAACTTTTACATAGCTTGCGTCAATAAATCTGCTCAAAATGAAGGTCAAATCTCATACTTACCAGGCTAAATTCAAGAGATTAGATAGACAGGCCTATTATTTCGTGTTAGATTCTATATTCGTAAAATAAATTTAGTGTGCTTATTTTCATGAAATACGTTTTGGTAAGGTGGATATAGAAGAATATGATATGATGCTGGGTAGAGGGAATGACTTAATGAGTCAAATGAGCGTCGAGAATGACTTAATGAGTCAAATGATGTTTTGTTAAAATATAAATATATTTTCAATGAGAAACATGTTACTTAACGTTTTGCTATAAGCTTCTTCGAAACATCAATTTTGGGACGAGTTAATTTGACAATGTTTTGGATAAGGCTATCCCCATTTTTAAAACAATTATTTCAATATTACTTATATTTACTTTCCTTCCATTCGCCATAAAAATTTTTCGACGATGAGAGTGTCATTCTACGAATCACAGTCCGGTCATTCTGAATGAAAAATCCTGTTAAAAATTATGATGAACACGGACCACAGTAACTAACTTTATAGACCAGGCTGTGGTTACGGCAAGTACCACCCGAGCCCGGAGAAATTGTGATGGGCATTTTCAGTTAGCTATAGACCTGGGTGTTCAGAATCGCGATGGTAAACGGAAATCTACTGGTGCGTCTTGGAGCTGGGAGGCCTTTCTTTTAGCCACTTTGACCTAGTGCCTCTGTGGAGGATTTTTTTGATAGTTTGTTGTTTTAAACCACCAAAACGCAATCTAACTATATATTATATTGACAACACATTGATAATCATCGATAAAAAGTTTAGGCATCACTGGGGGAGGGGGGGGGTGTGATTTTGCAGGCCACCTACCTTTTACCAAAGATGGAAACTTGTTTCTGTTAATGGTATGTCATTGAAGCTTGATTATTGCACTATAAGACTTAAAAAGGTTATAGGTGCGATTTGGAAAACTGCTTTTTTCAATTTAGAAAAATTCTGTCCATAATCACTGAACACCCAGGTCTATAGCTAACTGAAAATGCCCATCATAATTTCTCCGTGCTCGGGTGGTACTTGCCGTAACCACAGCCTGGTCTATTATATGAAATGAACACAACGAGAGTGCAATATACCAATTCCAATTCAACTTACGGCCTCGTTTTTGAAATTACTCAAACTTCATTGTACGACTTTTTTTGGGCTCAGAATCAGTTTTACAGCCATACTTTTCGGCCAGATACACTTTTTCATATTGTTTATGTTGTATTTTAGATTTTACGGAGAAATTAAGTTTGAAAACTTGAAAGAGAGTTAACTGCTAAAATCGTTTCGTGTGAAACTTCACCTCCCTATTAGCCAATCACGAACCATTCCCTTAAAAAATGTTCATCTTTATTTTGTGATAAAATCAATATCGGGAGCAAGAAAATCCTAAAAACTTCCAAGTAGACTAACATTCGTGCTCTTAATCTGAATCTGAGATCAAAACATTTTTTCAAAATGAGGCTATAAGATGAATTGGTATACACTGCTTTACACAAAATACTTGCTACCAACTGAGAGTATACTTACAGCTACTCCTCAAATGGCTGTGATCATACCCTTGGCACTTCTATATCATAGTGTCACACCCTCCAACGGGCTCTCGCGGTTTGATAGACACCCTGTAATTAGGATACCAGACTGTCCGTGTAGGCATAATGCATTTGCTCAACTGTAAGTTTTAGGCAGTTATCGAGATACGAGGAGATGCGAGGAGACGTTTTTGGGTTGTAGCAACCTAACAGAACGTTCATCACTGGGAATATTCTCTTATAAATTTTTGGCAAAAGATAAAAAAAGATCTGGTTCTTGTACTGTTTGTATTCGGGGTTTGCTAATGTTTCAAAGACAGGGCCATTTTGTAAACAATTTGCTAAAGTTGAAATCGACTGCTGTTCTAGTTAGGCATTTTATAAAACACTATTTTGCCACTTACTGTTAAAGGTTGAGGGTTAAAGGGTCACTCCAGCCCAAAAATGTTTTCTGAGATTTTTGCATAAATTGGTAGTTAGTCGAGAAAAAGAAGCTATCGTGAAATTTTTTTTCGAAAAGCTTAACTCGTTTTCCAGATATAGACGCTCAAAGTTGAGAATCACCGTAAAAATACGACAAAATTTTTTTCGGAAAAAGTACCTTGTGACGTATGAAGGGACCATTGTTTCAACATTCGGCACTATTGTTATACGTTCGCACTGAAATTCGCACGACTCGGTAGAGGCTCGGAAGAGGCGATTCATGTCGGAATCTCGGTTGTCGTTTTATTTATTTTCCTACATTGCGATTGATGTTCAGCGGAGGCTTCCAGCCAACATGGACTAGTAATTCGACAAATCACAGATGGAAGCTTCAACCTGAACGCATACCCTCATCTTGGCAACGCAGCAAGTTTTTTGATATGGAATGCTTCACGAATTTTCAGACGTGAATGGATTTCTGACCGAAGGCATTTCTTATCGTCGTGTCATCTCAGGAATTTCCAGGGAGCTGAATAACAATTGATGTCTCACCGCATTAGAAGAAGAACCCCATTCAGAAGATGGAAACTTTCCCGTAAGTCACAATTCATCCTTATTATCATTTTACTATGTTGAATTTTAGGCGAATCTGCAGGGTGTAGAGGTTTGGAGGGGGTTCGGAGATGGTGTGACACGCACCCCCTAAGCAACGCAATTTGCCGGGCTTTGAGAAAAACTTCGTACTCTAAATACAAGTTTTCTAACAGTCTTGTGAACTGTCCCCCAAATAGTCAGAAATGTGGTAATATGAAAAGTACAAAGTAAAGGTGCACCTCATGCTTTGAAGAAAGACCAAGAGCAGTTTTAAAAAAACTAGTCGTTGTTTTTCACAATAGGGGTCAAAATGAACCTCCAAGAGCTGCTAAAGTAGAACCTTTTATTTAAAGCAAAAACAGTACGATAACTTAACTCAAACAAGATTTGGAAGCGCTTTCCGATCCATATGTCGACAGAAATTCAAAGTAAAATTGGCTTTTCAAATTGATTCCTACAAAAAAGTGCATTCTTAAATCTTTTCAACAATTCCATCACTTTAATTCGAAGTGATTCAGGAAACAAAATCTTCATAAACAACCACCCAAATTCACTTGAAGTGATTAAAACCCACTGTAGCTATAGACGCTTGGATATAAACGTAGCTAGATGTCATCCGACACGCTTATACTCTCCTTAATGATCTATTTCATATCGTTCACCTAGTGGATTACTAAAAGATAAACTCTCACAAAAACGCCTAAAACACTGTCCAGGAGCTATTACAATAGTCTTGTCTGTTCCATATCCTTCTACTAGATGCAATTGCAACACATGTTTTGCTTTCTGTTTCAAGATTCAAGAAAATGTCATTATCCACTAATTTTGACTGATAATGACGGTAGCAAAGAGTCCATGCGAGCTCCTTAGGCCCAGCTTCATTGATTATTCTATCTTTCTTTGTCAAGAACAATTGCAAACCATCGAATTACTCCACGTGTGTATAGAGGCAAAACAAAGTTGAAGTTCATAAAAAGAACACAAGAAATTCAAGCAGATTTTTCAAAATCAAAAAGACTGTTATAGACAGAAACTTAGTCTGAACAGTATGGTACAGTATAAAATATACATGTTTTTGTTCTGCTAAATTTCTTCTTCTTCTCGTGTTAAAATAGAACAGTCTTTGATTGTTACTGCAGGACTTTATACCACTGCGACATAGCTTTAAGCGGCTTTTCACCAGTGAAATCAGTATATTTGCTCTTTACCAAATCGGCAAACTTATCATTAGTCATGTACCTAAGCTGAGGTTTATCGGTGACAATGGAATTTATGATGACGTTGGCAATATCTTCACCTTTTTGCCCAACTTTTTCAAATATTATAAGAGTGCTGGTGCTCACATCAGACATGGCTTCCCTGGTTGGTTCATCAATGCCTTCAAAATTCACAGGATTTTCGCCTTGAGCATTCGAGAGAAACTTTGTTAAGACAGGTCCAGGTTCCACTAATGTCATCCTGAAAAAGAAAAATAAAAAAATCCACTTAATGTAGAAAAACAGTATTAGGTTGACTAAGCCAAACCATAAGGAAGAATGAAGAAAAGAAAACATGCATCTTCAAGTTGAGCTTACTAAGTGAAGAATCAACCTTATGATGGTTTTAATCGCAGTCATACATGTGGATTAATAAAAAACAAACTGCCGATAGGACAACTATGGACCAGGAGGAGGTAAACAAGGCAAGAAATAGATTTTCTCCTGCAATAACGATGATCAGCTAGATCTAGTGAGGGATTTTATATGATGAGATATTCAGAAAGGTATTGTAGCTAAACATTGATCAAGTGATGTGATCTAAAACAAAGTTGTAACTGGTTAATAATTGAACTCCCAACCTCATCACAGCCACTCTACCCCCTCCCCTTCATAAACACTTCTTAAATTCATTCCAAAGGCCCTGACGTTACTCAGATAAGATTCTTACTTTTGTGTGACTGTTAGACGGCCTTTTCAAATTCTCGAACAATAAAGACTTACCTAATATTTGGAAAAGGAAGAAGCTCAAGAGCTAATGACTCTATGAATCCTTCTATTGCAAACTTGGTTGAAGCATACACAGAACTGTAATGAAAACCCATGATGCCTGCAATTGACGTCACTGTTATTGCTTGTCCTGATCCTCTTTCTTTCCAATGGGGAAGCATTTTTTTAATAATGTTGATAGGCCCAAAGACGTTCGTAGCAAACATGCTTTGTATTTCTTCGGATTTGTGGCATTGGGTAGGCCCATACCACCCAAAAGCGGCATTATTCACTACAATTGAAAAATTAGTTTTTATAAGCAATGCAATCTTCGGCAAACAATCTAAAGTGAATGAATGAATGAATAAACAATTAAAAAAATAAACGAATAAAAAAATGAATAAATAAATAAACAAATAAGTCAATAAATCAATTAGTCAATAAATCAATAAGTCAATGCATCAAAAAAGCAGTAAATAAATAAAGACATGTTAGCTGTAGATGTTACTTGGATTTTCGTGAAACAAATGGGAGCCACACCCTTCAGGTGACTGATTATACTCCCTTCCCCTAAAACCTGCTGCTTGAATCTGTCCCTGCTGGTATCAAGTTTCAGAGGCTTGAATAAATGTACACGTTCTTGTTAATCTTCAGCTCGGCGTGTGAGCAACAATAGAGCGAACAAGTATGGGCCAAAAAAGGCTAAGACTTTATTTCTTCAAGCACAACGGTAACTCTCTCTATTGATTTCCAAAAGGAAAGACAATGGCTTAGCAAGGAACGCTTTATTTGATTCAGCCAAATGGACAACAGCACCCCTTGTGTAACAAGCTAGGTAAATAAAAAATCCCCGTTGAGAAAATTCCACACCAGGGAGTCCCCTTTCAAAAATCCAGGGGCTTTTTCCAAATCCCAACGTCCCCCGCAAGCTGTGACATTGGATGCCGCCTTGAAATTATTCAAATAGACCAGTGGCGGCTCCAGCCTGGGATACGTGGAGGGGAACAAAAAGGTGTGTCAGGGACCACGCCCTTTTGGTCAACGCCCTTTTATACCACGCCCTTTTGTCCCACGCCCTTTCCCCCTGTTTGAGACTTTTTCTTCCGATGGAAATGTCATTAACATGTGACGATCTAGATAACGACATACCCCCCCCCCCCTGAAGTTTTCTCATCAGGTTTGCAAGAATCTCAAGGACCAGCTTTCTGAAAAAGTGGGGGGGGGACTATTCCCCCCTTCCCCCCCCCCGTGGCTCCGCCACTGAAATAGGCGCTGTGTGGACCAGACCATAGAATACCAGACCTCTTTGGAAGCCTCGCAGAATTTACGCTGACTCACGCTGATTATTAAAAAAAATCGGATCGCTCCCATACATTCTACTCTTCATGAGTCAGCAAAATGTCAACCCTTGATTGAAAAATATTTTTCATACTGCAACTGATAAGCTTCTTTTCCCTTAGAGATTTTGAAACTTTTATTTTGGTAGCTTTAAAGCACCCTGCACCGTAACAGCACCTTCATTTGAAAAGCAGTATAACAAGTTTGCAGCTTGCAGCAATTAGCAGCTGATCCGGTTCATTCAAGGCTAGAAATTAAGCTTGTCTGAAAAACAAAATGCATTTTAGGCATTCAACCCAAACCAACTCAATTACTCACCAATAACATCAATCCTTCCTTCTTTTGCCAAAAGATCGTCAAGAACTTTCTCAACCTGCTCTTCAGAAGATACATCCAGCTTCTCGATAAACAATGTTTTCCCTAGAACATCACTCCCCTCCTTCTCCAGTGGATCCTTCTTTGCAAAATTTCTCATTGAAGCGTATACTTTGAACCTTTTATCGGCATCTCTTGCAAGCATAACAGCCGTTTCTAGGCCGATTCCCGAGGAGCATCCTGTGACTAGAACTACTTTTTGGTTACTTGCTGCCATTTCGATCGTCTTTCTTGGCCTAAACACAGTGGTGTGATATTAAGTCTCAGACCTGGTGGAGTGATGAAAGGTACATGTACAAAGAATAAAGGGCTTTGTTCTCAGCAAGGAAAATGCTCTGTTAATATAAAAGGAACGTAAACAAACTTCGCTTCGTAGTAGTGTAATTTGCACAAGGATACTGGCGCATGGGGAGAGCAGGATGTTTTATCTCTGGGCAGAAGAAAAGTTCCTGCAGAATCTCTGGCCATTTCCTCCCTCGTCCTGAAGGGCGCTACGATAACGAAGCATATTACAGATCAAGGGGGCTAAAAAGTTTTTCGGGTGGGAGGGGGATGGGTGTTATCAACTTTGTGATGAGGTCGAACGATACGGACTCTGGACGTTTGAACTTTGATACTTTGAACTCGACCCATCGTTCCATTTTGTAATGCAAACTTTGATAGGCTGAATTTTAGTTATTTTAACCTTTTAAGAATGCTTTGTTTAAACTTTGAGCTTGAAACACCGTGTAGTAGATTTTTAAAGTTGTGTTGGTTATATCGGGCCAGAAAAACATGTGTACTTTCTTCGGGGCCACTGAGTTTTTAACTTTTACATAGCTTGCGTCAATAAATCTGCTCAAAATGAAGGTCAAATCTCATACTTACCAGGCTAAATTCAAGAGATTAGATAGACAGGCCTATTATTTCGTGTTAGATTCTATATTCGTAAAATAAATTTAGTGTGCTTATTTTCATGAAATACGTTTTTGGTAAGGTGGATATAGAAGAATATGATATGATGCTGGGTAGAGGGAATGACTTAATGAGTCAAATGAGCGTCGAGAATGACTTAATGAGTCAAATGATGTTTTGTTAAAATATAAATATATTTTCAATGAGAAACATGTTACTTAACGTTTTGCTATAAGCTTCTTCGAAACATCAATTTTGGGACGAGTTAATTTGACAATGTTTTGGATAAGGCTATCCCCATTTTTAAAACAATTATTTCAATATTACTTACATTTACTTTCCTTCCATTCGCCATAAAAATTTTTCGACGATGAGAGTGTCATTCTACGAATCACAGTCCGGTCATTCTGAATGAAAAATCCTGTTAAAAATTATGATTAACACGGACCACAGTAACTAACTTTATAGACCAGGCTGTGGTTACGGCAAGTACCACCCGAGCCCGGAGAAATTGTGATGGGCATTTTCAGTTAGCTATAGACCTGGGTGTTCAGAATCGCGATGGTAAACGGGAATCTACTGGTGCGTCTTGGAGCTGGGAGGTCTTTCTTTTCAGCCTCTTTGACCTAGTGCCTCTGCGGAGGATATTTTTGATAGTTTATTGTTTTAAACCACCAAAACGCAATCTAACTATATATTATATTGACAACACATTGATAATCATCAATAAAAAGTTTAGGCATCACTGGGGGAGGGGGGGGGGTGATTTTGCAGGCCACCTACCTTTTACCAAAGATGGAAACTTGTTTCTGTTAACGGTATGTCATTGAAGCTTGATTATTGCATTATAAGACTTAAAAAGGTTATAGGTGCGATTTGAAAAACTGCTATTTTCAATTTAGAAAAATTCTGTCCATAATCACTGAACACCCAGGTCTATAGCTTACTGAAAATGCCCATCACAATTTCTCCGTGCTCAGGTGGTACATGCCGTAACCACAGCCTGGTCTATTATATGAAATGAACACAACGAGAGTGCAATATACCAATTCCAATTCAACTTACGGCCTCATCTTTGAAATTACTTCAAACTTCATTGTACGACTTTTTTGGGCTCAGAATCAGTTTTACAGCCATACTTTTCGGCCAGATACACTTTTTCATATTGTTTATGCTTGTATTTTAGATTTTACGGAGAAATTAAGTTTGAAAACTTGAAAGAGAGTTAACTGCTAAAATCGTTTCGTGTGAAACTTCACCTCCCTATTAGCCAATCACGACCCATTCCCTTAAAAAATGTTCATCTTTATTTTGTGATAAAATCAATATCGGGAGCAAGAAAATCCTAAAAACTTCCAAGTAGACTAACATTCGTGCTCTTAATCTGAATCTGAGGTCGAAACATTTTTTCAAAATGAGCCTATAAGATGAATTGGTATACACTGCTTTACACAAAATACTTGCTACCAACTGAGAATATACTTACAGCTGCTCCTCAAATGGCTGTGATCATACCCTTGGCACTTCTATATCATGGTGTCACACCCTCCAACGGGCTCTCACGGTTTGATAGACACCCTGTAATTAGGATACCAGACTGCCCGTGAAGGCATAATGCATTTGCTCAACTGTAAGTTTTAGGCAGTTATCGAGATACGAGGAGATGCGAGGAGACGTTTTTGGGTTGTAGCAACCTAACAGAACTTTCATCACTGGGAATATTCTCTTATAAATTTTTGGCAAAAGATAAAAAAGATCTGGTTCTTGTACTGTTTGGTGTTCGGGGCTTGCTAACGTTTCAAAGACAGGGCCATTTTGTAAACAATTTGCTAAAGTTGAAATCGACTGCTGTTCTAGTTAGGCATTTTATAAAACACTATTTTGCCACTTACTGTTAAAGGTTAATGTTAAAGGTGCACCTCATGCTTTGAAGAAAGACCAAGAGCAGTTTTAAAAAACTAGTCGTTGTTTTTCACAATAGGGGTCAAAATGAACCTCCAAGAGCTGCAAAAGTAGAACCTTTTATTTAAAGCAAAAACAGTACGATAACTTAACTCAAACAAGATTCAGAAGCGCTTTCCGATCCATATATCGACAGAAATTCGAAGTAAAATTGGCTTTTCAAATTGATTCCTACAAAAAAGTGCATTCTTAAATCTTTTCAACATTCCATCACTTTAATTCGAAGTGATTCAGGAAACAAAATCTTCATAAACAACCACCCAAATTCACTTGAAGTGATTAAAACCCACTGTAGCTATAGACGCTTGGATATAAACGTAGCTAGATGTCATCCGACACGCTTATACTCTCCTTAATGATCTATTTCATATCGTTCAACTAGTGGATTACTAAAAGATAAACTCTCACAAAAACGCCTAAAACACTGTCCAGGAGCTATTACAATAGTCTTGTCTGTTCCATATCCTTAACTAGATGCAATTGCAACACATTTTTTGCTTTCTGTTTCAAGATTCAAGAAAATGTCATTATCCACTAATTTTGACTGATAGTGACGGTAGCAAAGAGTCCATGCGAGCTCTTAGGCCCAGCTTCATTGATTATTCTATCTTTCTTTGTCAAGAACAATTGCAAGCCATCGAATTACTCCACGTGTGTATAGAGGCAAAACAAAGTTGAAGTTCATAAAAAGAACACAAGAAATTCAAGCAGATTTTTCAAAATCAAAAGACTGTTATAGACAGAAACTTAGTCTGAACAGTATGGTACAGTATAAAATATACTTGTTTTCATTCTGCCAAAATTCGTCTTCTTCTGGTGTTCAAATAGAAGTGTTCAAGTCTTTGATTGTTACTCCGCGACTTTGAACCACTGCGACATAGCTTTAAGCGGCTTTTCACCAGTGAGATCAGTATATTTGCTCTTTATCAAATCGGCAAACTTGTCGTTAGTCATGTACCTAAGCTGAGGTTTATCGGTGACAATAGAATTTATGATGATTTTGGCAATATCTTCACCTTTTTGCCCTACTTTTTCAAAAGTTGCCGCACTGTTGCGGTTCATTTCTGACATGGCTTCCTTGGTTGGTTCATCAATGCCTTCAAATTTCGCAAGATTTTCGCCTTGAGCATTGGAGAAAAACTTTGTTAAGACAGGTCCAGGTTCCACTAATGTCATCCTGGACAAGAAAAATAAAAAAATCAACTTAAAGTTTAATGTAGAATAACAGTGTTAGGAAAACGTGAAACATGTCTCAGGAAAACAAAGCCAAACTACAAGGAAGATTGAAGAAAACATGTATCTGTAAATGGAGCTTACTAACCGAAAAATAAACCCTTTGATGGTTTTAATTGCAGTCGTGTCTGTTTTTGAAAAGAAACAAACTGCCGATACGACAACTATAGACCAGGAGGAGGTAAGGAAGATTTTTATATGATGAGATATTCAGAAAAAGCATGTAGCTAAACATTAATTAAGTGATGCGATCTAAAACAAAGATGTGACTGGTTAATAATTGAACCCCCAACCTCATCACAGCCACTCTACCCCCTCCCCTAACAAACACCTTACTTTTGTTCGACCGTTAGACGGCCTTTTCAGTTTCTCGAACAATAAACACTTACCTAATATTTGGAAAAGGAAGAAGCTCAAGGGCTAGTGACTCTATGAATCCTTCCATTGCAAACTTGGTTGAAACATACACAGCGCTATATGGAAAACCAATGACGCCTCCAGTTGACGTCACGGTTATTGCTTGTCCTGATCCTCTTTCTTTCCAATGGGGAAGCATTTTTTTAATAATGTTGATAGGCCCAAAGACGTTCGTAGCAAACATGCTTTGTATTTCTTCGGATTTGTGGCATTGGGTAGGCCCAAACCATCCAAAAGCGGCATTATTCACTACAATTGAAAAATTAGTTTTTATATGCAAAGCAATCTTTAGCAAACCATATAACGTAAATAAATAAATTAACAAAAAAATGAAAAATTGAATGAATGAATGCTCATGTTGCATTCTTTGTTAGCTGTTGTGCTACCAGAGTACCAATTTGCTTTTTAAGTGTCAGAAACCAAAGCGACAGCCCCTTTTCCTCCATAGGGCCATATCACCACAGTGCTTTCTTCGAGGGGTGTAGCTAAACAAGGGTGGTGCCGTTCAACGATATTGTAACATAGGTTTGTTTAATTCATACAGCATAACTATATATTCCATTGAATAGGTATTTTCTATTGACTTTGGTTGAAGCCGGATTCACTAGCATAAATCTCGAAAGTGCACATTCATAGGTTTGAATAAATGCGCACGTTTTTGTTAATCTTCAGCTCGGCGTGTCAGCCACGATTATGGGTTCTTCTTAGGACGGTGAAACGGTAAATAACCAGCTGGTTGGTGGAGCGATTTGCTAGGCCAAAGGGCCTAGGCCCCGAACAAGTAACGCACAAAGGATACTACTTCTTTGGTGTTATCTCTAATGCTTCAACAAAAAGACTAACTTATAACCCGATCAACACACACTGATAACCTAAAAACATAAACGGAAGCTAATTAACCGGACAGGCAACGGGAACATTACTTATAT